CGATCGCATGATCAGGTACTAGCGTTCCAGTATTTCTGCTCTTCTGGAATGCTCACCTACCATTTTTTAAAATATTTACTTTTTTTAGTTGTAGTTGGAAAGAATACCTTTATTTTATTTTTTGTTTATTTTCATGTGGTGCTGAGGATTGAACCCAGGGCCTCACACATGCTAGGGGAGCGCTCTGCTGCTGAGCCATAACCCAGCCCCTCGCCTACCATTTTAAGAAACCAAAATAGTGGTCTTTAAGAAAACAGATATGATAGTATTATTTGTTGTTTTTCAAATTTATTGATTGATTTATTTCAATTGTCAGATAAAATATATATATTTATCATGTACAACATGAGTGTTGAAGTATGTATACACGGAGGAATGGTTAAGTCTAGTTAATTGACATTTGTATTAACTCACATTGTGTATTAGTCCATTTTCCATTGCTGTAGCAAAATACCAGAGGCTGGGTAATTTATAAAGAGAAGAGTTTATTTAGCTCTTTTAGTTTTGGAGGCTCAATGACGTGGTGCCAGCATTTGGCTCAGCATGACCCGAACCATTCAGCTCATGGAAGACTTCCAACTTTGGGCAGACATCATGCTGGATGGCATCATGGTGGGAGCATGTATGAGAGGGAGAGACCACAAGGTGAGACTGGAAGGCAGAGTAGGGGCCTGACCTGATCTTTTTGTACAACCCTCTCATGAGAACCAATTCAGAGTCTTGTGGAGGTCTCTGAGTCCCTTCCAACAACAGCACTGGCAGTGGCCCAACCAGCACCCACTAGGTTCTTCCTCTTAAAGGTCCTACCACCTCTTAGATCAACACACGGGGACCACGCTTCCACCACTCGGACCCTTGGGGAAACTCAAGACTATATTCACAGTTGTCATTTTTTGCTGTGACAATGGCATTTTATTTATTTATTTATTCATTTTAGTTTTAGGTGGACACAATACCTTTGTTTTTATGTTGTGCTGAGCTCAGCTCGAACCCAGTGCCTCACACATGCTAGGAGAGCACTCTACCACTGAGCCACAGCCCCAGCCTGACAATGGCATTTTAAAAATAAGAGATTTCAGTCATTTATGGGTTGAGAACAGTGTCAGTGACTTAATTACTCAATGTATGCAGAAAGCAAGCTGAGGTCTACAAAATTAGATGGTCCATGTTGTGATGCTGCAAAATTGGTTATAAAAAATTTAATGTGAATCCACAGTTTTGAAATTGGTTGAGAAGATGTTATGGAATTTTCTTTTGTATGTGAAGAAAGTAAAAATGATAAATATAAGCCTGTAATTTTTGGTGGGAGAGAGCTTACTCTCAAAAATAAGAAGGTTTTAGCACTAACTGAAATGCAGAAAGCTGTTCAAAGAGACACATTTCTGTTTTCAAGTTGGTGATGAGATAACTTTAAGATAATTTGAAGGAAAGTGTTTGGTCTTAGTATTAACAATCTTCTCATTATACTTATTGAGTCATAAAAATTTTGGTGGCTGAAAAATTTTGTATAAAAATATCCTGGTGATACTACTGACATACTTGAAAAAAAGATCCACCAATGTTTCATTTATAATTGCCATGGTTAAACATTTTATTCACTTTACAGTGTGTTTGTTTCATTAAACCTTCATTTTATTATTAATTTTATCTGATGATTTATAATGCTAACAGAATGACTGTATTAGTTATGCTAATTAGAAGAGCATTCCAGGCCCAGTTTTGTAAAATATTGGCGTTAATACTATGCAAACATAAAATGAACATTCATTTTACTCTACTACTGTAATTACTGTTCCAGGCAGAAGAACAGCATTGTGAGGTCCTGGCAGTGAGCAGCAGCGTGGTTGGGGGAATTCACACAGTCTGTACTGCTGGAGGTAGGCAGGCTGTGAGATGGGAACTGAACAGGTGAATCGTCTGCTGCGCGGCCCGCTCCTAGCTCCTGATTGTTCTGGATTTGATCTCCTCCTTGGGAGCTCATGAATTTATAAATGAAAGTGCTCATCCGCTCTGGGCTTCCCTTTCCTCCTCTGCAGCTGAGAACACTGGTACCCGATGCCCAGGCCACAGGATCAGCATGAGTTTGAAGGAGAGCAATCTCTGCACAGGGGAGAAGTTCCCTGCTCCTCTCTGGTCTTTTGCTCTACCATGAGCTGCCTCTCAACTGACTCTGCTTTCCAGTAATCTTCCACAAAGAGGTTTTTCTCCTCCCAGACTCAGTCCACCTGCTTCCCAGGTCCAGCGTGGCCCCTTGCTTCCTGTGGGGGTTCCCAGCACCCCCCTCCTGGAATGCAGTGCTCATGGCTGATGTTACCGGAGAACTTCAGGAAAACCGCTTTCTTATCCGGATGTTTTCTTAAATAATCTCAATTAGATGTTTTCTGTCTCTTGGGAAAGTGATGAGGTTAGTGCCCTGTGAGGATCTGTGTGTTTCTTTCTAGAAAACAGACCATTCCAAGAAGGGATGAAACATGTAAAAGTTGCAAATCCTTGTAAGATCATTTGCCACTTCACCTGTTTAATTCAAGTCTCTCACAACCTGCCTACCACCTGGTAAAAGTCTCTGTTTAGAAATCTTGCTTGATTTCTTTTTCTTTTTCTTTTTTTTTTTTTTTGGTACCAGGGATTGAACTCAGGGGCACTTGACCACAGAGCCACATCCCCAGCCCCATTTTGTATTTTATTTAGATATGAGTCTCACTGAGTTGCTCAGCGCCTCACTTTTGCTGAGGCTGGCTTTGAACTCGTGATCCTCTTGTCTCAGCCTCCTGAGCCACTGGGATTATAAGCGTGCACCACCACGCCCAGCATTTGATTTTTTAAAAACTATGTTAAAAAATAGAAAATACCCCCATCCCACCCTTATAGGGTCGCAGGTGAACTTAAGAGCATTCTGATTAGGTGTCAGCACTGGGCTATTACTTCAGCCCAGAGGGACTCGGTGTGGGGAGAATATTTCCCCATGTGGAACGGCCTCAGCCGTGTTAGCAGTGTCTGGCCTGTACATAAGGTCTTCCCCCCCCAGCAGTCCAGGGGCCCGAACCATTCAGCTGATGGAAGACTCCCAACTTTAGGCAGGAGGCAGTAATAATGGTGGTATCTGGGTAGTTCTTGCACCTGCCCCTTTTAGAAGGAGAGATGTGTTCCTCCAATTTATTTGTTGAAAACTTAATGGTCAACAGTGTTGGGAGGCGGGCCCTTTGGGGAGGTGTTTGGGTCACAAGGAGCCCTCGTGGGTGGATTAGTGACACTGTACCAAGGTGCGTGGGAGGGAGTGGAGTCACTCTTCTTGCTCTTCTGCCTCCTGCACTGTGAGGGACCAGCAAGAAAGCCTGCATCTGAATGCTAGGCCCTGATAGTGGGCTTCTCAGACCCACTGGGAGGAAGCACCTTCCGTTCATTATACATGACCAGTGTGTGGCATTGTGTGACAGACTAAGACAGGAATAAAGACATAATAAAATTCTTTCTCACTTGATATTAAAAAAAAATGTTGTGCCAAAAAGTGGAGGTGATTCCTATTTTGGCTGATATTCGTGTAGTTCGTTTCATCTCCTTTGGATTTCCTTTGGATTTCTTATAAACTGTTATCCTTTCTGGTTATGACAGTTCATCACTTGGTCTAAAATAGTCCCACGAGTATGGGAATGTGGCAAATCAGGAGTCAAGAAACTTCCAAAACCGGAGGCAAATATTTGGGTGCTGTTTCCTGCCCCTTATAAACCTTCCATCTGACAATAGCCTCGGGTTTTAATCTTGCTTTGGTTAGTGTGGCCCTGGGGAAGGGTGGACTCTTTGACTTTGGCTTTGTACTGGGCCCTTTGATGGGCTGATACTGCCTACCTCACAGTGTTACGGATTAAGTGAAAGAAGAGTGACTGGCACTCATAGAGTCAACACCTGGTTCCCTGCGGCTTAGTTCTTCTTGTGGTGTACAGTATATAGTCAAGGGAGTTGTGTGTCCTTATCTAAGTCAGTGTAATGGATTGTTGTGCTTTCATGCTGCCTCAGCCTTCACTGTGAACCTACGTTTAACTTTCTGGCACCAGAAGCAGGGTTCATTCACTCTCCACACCAGCTCCACATCCAAATGGCTCGAGCTGGAGGCCGGAGTAAGAACTGAGATGCGTCTCTCCTGTCTAGCACAGTGGGCTCCCCACTCTCTGTCTTTTAAGTGAACCGCCCGGCATTTGCCCACAAATGTGAAGTTTCGTCCCGTGTCCCTATCTACTCTCTCTCTGCCTCTTCATTCCTGCCTTGCGTGACTTGGGCCCAGAGGGCTGTCCTCTGACTCATTACACCCTTCTTGCCAGAGCCTGAGAGTCAGAGTCCTGAACATGCGCCCCGACGCGGTGCTGCGCTGATCTTGCTCCTTCCATCTGAGGAACCTGGGCTTCCCTGGAGGGGTTTTCCTGGGGCCTCTGAGGAGGACGCGAGGTCAGGGTCCTAGTGCCAGAGTGATGGTCAGGCTGGCATAGGCTGAAGCTCACGCAAGAGCCACAGGACAGATGCCAGTGTAAACACGCTTCAGGTGTGAGGGACCCTGGGTCATGGACTGGTCACGGCTTTAGGCTGTCCACCAGGGAAAGCAGTGTCCTGTGAAAGGCACACCAGCCTTCTGGTCCACGTCATTTCCTGCTGGGGCCTGGTTGCCAGTTGCTCTGCTGCTGGGGGCTCTCAAAACAGTGAGTTAAAACAGTGAACTTTGATTTTCAAAAACAAACAGTCTGAGAAAGTCGTAAGGAAGCCCCCCCTTTACAATTCATTCCTCCTGGTGGTCACCTCGGTAGGACTTAAGAAATCACTTTCTAGGGCTGGGGAGGTGGCTCAAGCGGTAGCGCGCTCGCCTGGCATGCATGCAGCCCGGGTTCGATCCTCAGCACCACATACCAACAAAGATGTTGTGTCCGCCGAGAACTAAAAAATATTAAAATTCTCTCTCTAAAAAATTCTCTCTCTCTCTCTTTCTTTAAAAAAAAAAGAAATCACTTTCTAATTTAGTAAGTCATAATTTTAGCTTTAATACAAATTATTTATTTCTAAACCAAAGCACACACAGTTGTGGCAATTTGTGTGACGCTGTTATCAGTAGTGCTAGAGTACTTTGAATTCTATAAAATTCCTTAACTTAGGAGATTCAGTTCTTCCAAATAGACAATTACTGGGGAAGTTATCTTCTTCAGACGCTGTGTCAGAGCTCAGGCCTCAGGCTGCCTGTGTCAGTGCCTTGTATCCATCGTTTACGGGTTGTGTCCCTCTGACAAGTCTCTTGACTTCTCTGGACTTTAGTTTCCTTATCTGTAAGAAGAGAATTACAATAATTCTGACACCATCAAATTTTTATGAAATTAAATGAGTTCACCATATGTAAAGTACTTAGTACCTGGCCCATAGTAATTGTTTAATACTTGTGATTATGATATTCTACTGTAAAAAAGAATAGCCTAAAATATACAGATGTGCTTTGACTTATGATGGGGTCATGACCAATAGACTTATTGTAAAATACCATATAAGGAGAAGGCGTATACATATCCGACCTATTCACAGCTCATCAACACCGTACACTGGAGAGTGCCTGGTTGCAGGCTGCCTGGGAGCTGGGGCTCACTGTTGCTTTCCAGCATCACATGAGTATTGGATGCCCATTGCTAGCCTTGGGAAAGATCATAGATCAAAATTCCAAGTATGGTTTCCACTGAACAATACAGCTTTCCCGCCATCTTAAAGTCAAAACATCGTGTCAAACCATCCTACGTTGGGGACTTGTCCATAGTCTGATTGACCTGACCATCTTCATTCTGTCTGACAGGGTACACACTGCTACACTGTGCTGCAGCCTGGGGTCGTCTGGAAACTTTGAAAGCACTAGTGGAGCTGGATGTTGACATAGAAGCTTTAAACTACAACGACGAAAGAGCTCGGGACGTTGCCGCTCGGTATTCCCAGACTGAGTGTGTTGAGTTTCTGGACCTGGCAGGTGAGGAAGCTCCACAGAGGAAACGGATTGATCTGATGGACGGGGACAGTTGGCATCTTCACCCTCCATCTAGATGTTTTATTGTGGGTACCTCCACAGTCACTTTTGGCAATAACATGAAATCTTCTTTTCCGTTTCACTATTGGCCTAACCTATTGCACTTAGTAGGAGCTGTATGTATTGGAAATTGTGAACTTACCAGCTGATAACGATTTAACAACTTATTTTCTATAAGCCTATGCATACAACATGTTCAAGGCTGTTTTCTTACTCAGGCAAAGTAGATGATTCCTTAATTGTTTAAAAATTAGCATATTTTAGTAATATGTTCAATTTCCCAGATAAAAAATTTTAGAATTAAGAAAATATTTGTCTGGGTAAAGTTGATCTATGGTGTTAGTAATCAGAATAGTAGTTACCCTGAGGGCATGGAGGATTTCTGGGATGTAGTGTCTTTTTCTTAATTTGGATGCAGGTTCTGAAAATTTATTGAGCTGTATACTTATAATTTGTCACTTTTTTGTTTGCATATTGCAGACTTCAGTACAAAGTTCAGAAAGCTACGTGCTACGGCCATATAGATAGAGCTGAAAGAAGTTTTAGGAAAATATGCCCGCATAATTTCGTATGTGTGCAAACATTGGCTTAAAAACCCAGTACTTATGGAACTCACAGCATGCATTTTGCCCTGCATTCAGGTTTTTAGCAAGCATTTATTCAATGCCCACAATTCCATATGCCAGTCTTCTTGTGGGTACAACTGGTTCCCACCTCTGGATATTTGTTGGTTAAACACAGCCACGGTTATGTAACTACAGCAGGAAGATCATGATGAGGGCAGAGCAGGTAGTCCGTGCCATGGGGCCGTCAGAGAGGATGAGGTCAACCTATTGGGGCTGAGCTGGGCCTTGGGGGATGGGTGGGATTTGAAGGCACAATAAAAGGGAAGGAGCATGATCAAAGACGACTCGGAATGAAGGTGGCATGTGGGGGTCAGGGGGAAGGTCGCTTTACTGGAGCAGCAGGTCATGGTTGGCACAGGTAGGCTGTAGCCCAGGTAGAATAATGGAAGGGTTAACTACATGGCCGCTGGTGTCTCCACCCGAAACCTCTGTGACCTTGGACAGTTACTTCAGTTCTCTACACCTCAGTTTTCCTTTCTGAAAAAGGGGCAATGGCAGTGTTTTCTCGAGGGTTTGAGAGTGAAATGAGGTGGTGCAGAGCACCGAGCACAATACCTGTCATGTGGTCAACGCTTGGAAAATGCTGCTGCCGCAACAGCAGCCAGAGCATACCCTGAGTGCCAGGCCCAGCTGCTCTCATTAGGTTCTGGGAGCACGTTAGTGAGTATGGATTCCGTCTTAGTTGAATGGAAATCCAGACATCTTTGGAAAATTTCAGCAATAATTGTGGCAAAAAAAAAAAAAATGGTTGAGGCTCCTAAAGAACCTTAGATAAGTTCCTCTCAACAGATTCCTTTGCAATCTCCATATTTGACTGAGCTACATTTGCATGTGTGCGTGTTTAGTGTCCTCTGGCTCCTCCTCCTCCTCCTCCTCCTCCTCCACTTTTCTTCCTCTTTAATTCGCGGTGCTTAACTTTCTTAGAGGAAGAATGGTGGGACACCTGCTTCAGGTACTTGGTCATCATTGACGTGGTGGCCAGCAGTCTGCAGAGTATTTGGTCAATGTCATAGATGGATGGGCTTTCTAGAGCTTTGCCAGATTTATCTAAGGAGGCTTGCTTTTTCAGCTGAAAGGAGAGAAGCGAATGACATAGATTGCATCTTAGTTTGAATTTAATTCATATTCTGAACATATAAGCTTAAATTCTATTAAAATACACAATCCATTATTTACGCAAAAGAAAACTTACTCTAGAAGAAAAGTATAAAAGTATAAAAGTAAGAAATGCTCATTTATATACACACACGGTATCGGACTAGCATGACCTCCATCACTGTCAGCCAACGTGTAACTAGTGCTGTCTGTGTTAGAGCACTCTGCTGGGAGGAATTATTTCAATATTAGCAGAATGTTTTCCTTCCTAAACATGAAAGACCATAAAATCAAAGGCATTTTTAAAATAGGGTAACACTTGTAGATGTCTAAGTTTTCCTGAAGATCAGGGGGGTTTCTGGTTGGTGTCTGTTGTCTGGGCTTGGCCAGTGAGTCTTTAAGATTGTCTCAAACTGTGGTGTCATCTGCTGGCAAAGTAGTGAATTAGTTAAAGAGCTCTGTTCCCCAAAAAGCCATCCTAACATTAGAAATGAGTTTACAGTCCATTTTAAAAGTACATGCCAACTTTCTTACTTAGTTTTTTAGATAGATCACTGTCATCCAAGAGATCTGTTGTTCCAGACCCTTGGTTTTACAGGGCAGCCGGGGAGGAGCGAACAGAGCCCAGACAGACAGTGCCCCTTTCTGCACATTCCTCCCGCGGTGACACCCTGTGTTTCTGCTCTGCTTTGAGACTTGAAACAGAAGGGCTGGGCCAGGTGATTTTAAGGCCCTTCTATTCATCACACACTTGTCGAGCACCTGGTACCAGCAAGTCACTCTGCAGGATGCTGGGGAGGAGCGGGAGGGGCAAGTGGCAAAAAGGAATGACCCTTCTTCACAGAAATGGCTGATCTCATGTTCTAAACTCTGAGATGCTGTGACTGTTACCATTTACATCATGAATTCACCTTTTTTTGGTGTTTCTTCCATTTTATCCACAGATAATGCCCAGATAAGACGGACAGGATTACAATGAGAGCTTGTGCTATGATATAAGTGAGGTGCAAACAACTCTGAAGTAGATCCATGTTAGCGAAGCTGCAGCACAGTCTGTCCAGGGGGTAGGGTAGACAGTGAGAGGCAGAAGGCTTAACTTTCAGATAGTGCACTTCTTCTGGAAAAATCTCCCATCCAACCTTTGTCCAGATTGTTCCATCACAAATGCAGACACTCTCCCTGAAGAAGCAGGTAAGCAACAGAAAAAGAACCAGGGATACTCCTCCATTAGACGCCATTCTTTCTCACTTGAGAGAAAAATTTGTAGCTAAAAAATTGATCAAAGACAGAGCAGAATGTGCCCTGAGTATTGGTTAATAGGATGCTTCAGTTGAAGCATTTCAGAAAATCTTGTTGGTCAGCAAAATACAGCGGGCAAGATGCAGCAATGGTCTCTGTGCCACCGTTGGTCAGTCACGGTGATACCAGGGAAAAGCTTGGTGATGCAGGGGTAAGCCCGGTGATGTCATAAAGAAGGGCTCTGGAACTGAGAGGTGTCACCTGACCAATCCCCTGAGGTTTCTTAGAACTACCTCTTGTAGCTTTTGGCTAGAATGGTTTGAGCTTCTTCAATTTTCTTAAAGATAAAGAATTTACTAATATTTTGCTGATTAGTAAATTCAACAACAATGTCAGCATATTAATAAAATCTCCTGGGAATGAGTCCCTCATATTCCCTTGGTGCTGTCAGGCTGTGGGTGAGGGGCAAGGGAGACAGCATGGCATGTGGATAGAGATAAGGTGGCAAGGAAGTGGGCATGTGACAAAATGGTGGCCTTCAGTCCTTGCTTTTATGGAGCGAACGGTCTATAAGTAAGAGGAAAACCAAGGTGATTTCAGAGACGGAGTAAGAAGAGAGCTACATAAAACTATAACAGGCAGCATTGAGGAAGCAATGAGCTCTACCTGGGACAATTAGGAAATTTCACAAGAGTGTTATTTGAGGGGGCCTTGAAGAATGAGTAGAATTTTGGTAGGTGGCCAGGCAAAGAGACATCTCAGAATTACCAGGAATAAATGTATTTATTTATTTATTGCAGTACTAAAATGTGAAAGGAAAGAGATAAACTGAGGGAACAACTATTAAGCACAAAGGATACAGGGCTTGATCGTTTGGGAAATTCCCAGCCAATCCAGACTGCAAAAGGTACTGCTGTCATTTGGAAAGTGTCCCCCAAAGGCCTGTGTTCAAAGGCTTGGTTCCCAGCTTGGTGCTATGGGAACTGGTGGAAACTTAAGGGTGGGGACTGATGGGAGAGTTTGCTCACTGCAGTGTACCCTTGTAGGAGGTAGAAGGGAAACAGCCCCTTCTCTGCGTGTTTGCTCCTGGCCACAAGGTAAATGGCTTTGCTCCACCCATTCCTTGCTGCCTAAGTGACTGTGGCCTGAAACCTTTGGAACTTCGAGCCAAGCCAGACCTTCCCTCTTTATAAGTTGACTATCTCAGCTCTCTTATTATGTAACAGAAAGCTGACTAACACAGGTTTTGAACTTAAGAAAGCCACTGTCAAGAAGTATGTTTGAGAATAGGAGTGTGAATGTGGATCCTCCCAGCCATCTCTGCAGAAGTCAGGGGTAGAAATGAGATTCTCCATGAAACATCTGGGGAGGAGTCTCATCTCATAGACTGAATCTCTGAGACATGCTGGGAGACTCACAGGTTTTTGAAAATGTTACACCAGCAGAAACTCCAGCTAAGACAAAGGGGCAAAGAGAGGACAAAGCAATAAAGTTACTGTTCTTCCAAAATTCTAAAGAAATAGACTAATAGAGGTATTTAGCAGCAAGAACATGCAATTTTTGTGAAAAAGGAAGGATTAGTGAGTGGGTAGAACCTCAGGCCCAGAGGGCAGTCTTAAATCACAGAGGATTATCCCCATGCCTTAAAACCAAGTGGAATTTTCCCTGTGCGTTTCAAAATTGCTTGGGATTGGTGACGCCTTTCTTCCCTCTCTCTGCTCATTTCTGAACGGCAGTGTCTATGCCTTATTCTCTGCCCATCCCCCCGTACAGTTTGGAAGAAGATAACTAGTTTTCTAGTTTGACAGGTCCACAGACGGAGAGGAGTTCTGCCTTAGGATGGATCATACGAATCTCACCCATACTTTGTTTCGATGATTTGGAGTCTGGGGTTTGAGAGTTTTGAGTTGTGCTATTTAGATAAGGATTGGGATAGAGTTGATGTTGTAATCATTTATAGGGATGTTGGACAGGCGGGAATGTATTTTGGATGTGGGGTAGATGTGACTTCTGAGGCAGCAAGAGGGAAGGCTCAATGATGGGTACCACAGATATCCAGTCTACCATGCGGCCTGCGCATTGGTTTCATTAATGAGGTTCTAGGCATAAAGTTAGTTAAAAGAGATCGAAATAAAACACACAGACTCAGTTACCTTATATCTGTTGCTAGGTCCGAGACGGCTCCCCTCTCTGGTTCGCTCCTGTAGCCGCCCAGCAGGGCAGCAGGGATTACTCAGGGCTAGCAGGAGAGAGAGAGAGTGAACACTAGCCTTCTATTGGGGAGCAAGAGATTCAGGGGAGAATTCCATCCAATGAAGGTTGGGGGGGTGCTGCACTCCAAGGTCAGGGTCAGTGATTGGGTCTCAGGGTCAGTGGTCAGGCACACCCCCACACGGATGGGCTCTCTCATCAGGAAAGGGCCGGAAAACTTCGACACAGCCAAAGCGCCTCAGGCCCTTAACGGGAGTCACCCAGTCACGTGTCAGAATGGCTTCCCACAATCCAGGGCTAATCCCTGGAGTTTGTGGCTACAGCCTCCTCTGGAGGAGGGGGTTTTGTAGGTCCTCGAGTTAAGAATCTTAAAATGGGCAGATTATCCTGGATTATGCAGGAGGGATTGAAATGTAATCATGGTGGCCTTATAACTGAAAGGCAGAGGGAGATTGACAACAGGCTGGCTTTAGACCAGTGGAACCAAGCTCCGGTTGCTGCCTCTAGAAGTGTAAAGGGAAGAGTCTGTGTCTCTTCGCGCCACCCAATATGTGGTGGTTTTATGTAGCAGCCACAGAAGATGGACCCATCAGCATTTAAATTAATCTGGGACTAATCTAATTTACAGTGTTCAGTAGTTTCAGCTGAGAATATGATAAATCCTAGATTTATTTGACTCTTTATTTACCTCAGCAAAGAAATATAACTTTATTTAAACAGGTCTTGCAAATGCTGTGATAACATTGCTATGGGCACTATAGTGAATGTAGTTTTTTTTTTTTTAAAGAGAAAAGCTAGTTTTGAATTTTTGTGGGGGGGGGGATCTAGGGGAGTAAAGCAAGTGACGGAAATATTTTTTGGTTGTTACTTTTTCCAGAAGAGAAATTTTAATAGATATATTCTCTTTGGAATCAGTTTTATGTTTTATATTTCTTTTGTTTTTCAAAAAACTTAGCATAATTCTAGGAACACACTGAGTGCTCCAAAAACCACAACAAATATTGGACACACAATTTTTACAAAATTAAGATAAGTAATATACTTTATGAAAAGTTGTATATATATATTATATATATATATATAAAATTTGGTCAGTTAAGCATATATACATATGTGTGTATATATAAGTATATGTATGTATATGTGTGTGCGTGTGTGTGTGTGTGTGTGTGTATATATATATATATATATATATATATATATATTTTGGTACTGGTGATTGAACCCAGAGGTACTACTAAGCCATATCCCAGCCCTTTTTATTTTGAGATAGGGTCTCACTAAATTCTCCAGGCTCTCAGCCTCCTAATTAGCTGGGATTACAGGTGTGTACCACCCCACCCTGCTCTTACTGTCTTTCAGATGCAAGGCTGGCTCTGAAAAAATACATGACAAAGGTTACTTTAACAATTACGGACCCAGAAAAGGGACCAGGGAAGCTTCTTAAGGAAGACAAGGTACGGTACTGTGATTGTTTCTTGTTCTGAAAATTCTGAGAATTTTGCCTCACATCTTAATTCACACACTAATGCTACAGAGACTGGGAGGGAGGGAGGGAGGGAGGGAGGAGGGTGAAGGGAAAGGGGAAAGAAGGTGGAGAGAAGCCTCCTTTGCTTCATTAACTGGGGACAAGGGACAGACTGAACTAAATGGAATGAAGTCGTGTTGAACAGTGACACAGAGATGTGCTAAATATCACCCCTGACAGCTTGGATGAAGGTCAGAAATGTTAAGTTGAGTGGAAACCACTCCCACAGACCACAGATATTTATAAAGGAATGCCTACATATGGGGGCAAAACTTTTTTTTTTTTTTAAGCAAACAAAAGGATGAGCAAAGATGGTGTTTCTCTCCTGGGGTGGGGGTGGGGGCAGGAAGCAAAGCTGGGCTTGTCGTACTGGTAGGGCTCTGTTCTGGTGCAGCCTTGCGGTCCAATGATGTTCATTTCATTATTTTCCTTCAAAAATTAGATGTATATCATACATTTTAACATATATGCATATGCACATATACATTACATATTTTTTTTAGTGTATCAAATTTTCCATAATGGGGAAAAAAGATATATAGATAGGAAGGTAGCTAACTATGGAGCCAGCCTGCCACCTTGGTATATTTAAGTACTGTCTGTAAACTAGTTTATTGATTTGGATGTATATTAAATATATGCTCAAGGTATCAGAAATACATTTTGGTTTCAAATTATCTCATGCATTTCTGTGCAGGATGCTCTGACATAATTTATTTAATTTTCTCTGACACAATTTATATGAAAAAGAATTAGCCATTGCTAAGAAGACATCAGCAATTCTGAGAACTTGATAAGTTACACATTGCACTTGAATCTTATAAAAACACTCTACAGAATCTCTTGTGAAACAAACAACATAAAGGAAAAATTCTATTGGGATAGCTTCTGGAGCTATTAGATCTGCAAGACAAAACTTTCTTGGCACAAAGGAATAGTGCTTTGTTAGCAATTAGAAAAGTCAGTTTATCAATTTTTAAAAAATTTAGTTATCTGAGTTACAAAATGTGTACTCAGAAATCACTAGAAAAAAATGAAACAACTAAAACACTTGCTTCAATTTCCAATCTTTTACCATGTGGATCTCATAATAATTTTGTGCTAATTTCATCATATTTTTTTTCTTCACTTATAAAAACATATGCATGTCCATATATAATAGGGGTCCATAAGGGATATATATATTTTTATAAAAATGGGATCATTGGGGCTGCAGTAGTGGCTCAGTGGTACAGCGCTTGACTTGCACATGTGAGTCACTGGGTTCAATCCTCAGCACCACATAAAAATAAATAAATAAAATAAAGGTATTGTGTATAAAAAATGTTTTAAAACATGGGATCATACCAGTCATATTATTCTATAATTTGCTTTTCCTCCTCTTAATAATATCCACTCACCTTTTTTTTAGGTAGAGGGGATTGAATCCAGGGGCATTCCCTCAAGGTCTCCCTAAGTTGCTGAGGCTGGCC